TTTTATTAATTTTATGTATTTATATTTATATATTTTTAATGTTGTTTTTATGCAGATTGCTCGATAAATGTGAGACAGTATTGAAGTTAATGTAATCCTACTGAAAAAGCAATTCGTCTATTGTGGTACCTACTGTTCTTGCTGTTGACTTTTTATCTTGAACAATTTTGGAGTCAATTAAGGTAAGAATACATCCCAATTATGGCATACATATTTTAATATTTATTCAATTTAAACAGGGAAAAGGGGTTGGCATTATTTTAACATCCATGTTTATGCTCCAGTTACACTCACAAACTAAATTAATTTTATGTAATAATTTCATTATTATATTATTTTAAATAAATACATAAGTCTGAACACTCATAATATTTCATTTTACAGGAACATGGATACTGGGCGCGGCGGAAAAGAAAAAGTTAGAAGCGTTCGAAATGTGGTGTTATAGGCAGATGATGAACAGAAGACAGAACAGAGGACTCTATGGAAGTCAATAAAAAATAGGCGAGATAGGTTAGTAGGACACCTTTTCAGGCATGAAGGTCTAGTCAGAGACATATTAGAGGCAGAAACATGAGTTAAGAGAGGTAAAGGTAGACCTAGATTGGATTACTTATAGTAAAGGATGTGGGTTGTTCTAGTTTTAGAGAAATGCAAAGATTAGCTCAGAATGGGAAAGTGTGGAGGTATGTGTCCAACCAGTCTTAGGACTGACGACCTTATGATAATGAGGAACATTGTTAAAATTCTGGATACCATTTGCTATGGAATATCGGTCATATTAGTCCTTTTTCACTCCAGGATGTAGCTGTCCCTGAATGAAGCATAGAATACCTTTTGTTCACTGGAAATAGGCAGTGCCAATGCTGTTGCTAAAGGAAGGATTTACAATGATGAATGGGTAAGTAATTATTAAAAATTACAGTAAACTTGAATTCTTTCTAATAGAAGTTTGTATAAAATAAGTGATGCAACATTTATTTTAAATTTATTTATAAACTATTACAGACACAATGTGTATATTTTGACTTTATGAGGAGCAGAACCATAAGAAGAGCTTAGTTTGCTTCTTATAATTGATACCTTGTGTAATTATTATTTTTCCTTCCGCTTTTCTCTAGGTTCACACTACGCCACTTTAAGATTGTATTTTTTTACTTACTTATAGGGGTCTTTATTTAATACCAAAGTAATTTTCCTTTTTTGTCTACTGTTCAGAAAGATAGAAAGAAAGCTTCTGTAAACATTAACACCATAATTTTCTGTTGGAAATTTGTTATAAACAAATTATCAATTTTTAACTAAATTCAAGGTAAAAATCTTAAAAAATATTTTACATCAATTGTAATGAATTTGTTAATAAAACAGTGGNGAAATGCGAAGTTTAGTTCAGGATAGGAAAGTGTGGAGGTATGTGTCCAACCAGTCTTAGGACTGACGACCTTATGATAATGAGGAACATTGTTAAAATTCTGGATACCATTTGCTATGGAATATCGGTCATATTAGTCCTTTTTCACTCCAGGATGTAGCAGTCCCTGAATGAAGCATAGAATACCTTTTGTTCACTGGAAACAGGCAGTACCAATGCTGTTGCTAATGGAAGGATTTACGACGATAAATTGGTAAGTAATTATTAAAAATTAGAGTAAAATTGAGTTCTTTATAATAGAAGTTTGTATAAAATAGGTGATGCAGCGTTTATATTAAATTTATTTATAAGCTATTACAAAAACAATGCGTATATTTCGACTTTATGAGGAGCAGAATATTTTGAGCATTAGAAATGCTTGTTTTGCTTCTTATAATGGTACCTTGTGTAATTATTATTTTTCCTTTCACTTATCTCTAAGTTCACACTACGCCACTTTAAAATTGTATTTTATTACTTACTTTTAGGTGTCTTTATTTAATACCAAAGTTAATTTTCGTTCTTTGTCTATTGTTCAGTAAGATAGAAAGAAAGCTTCTCTAAACATTAGTACCATAATTTTATGTTGTCAATTCGTTATAAACAAATTATCAATTTTTAACTGAATTCAGGAGAAAAATGGTAAGAAATTATTAACATCAATTGTAATGAATTTGTTAATAAAACAGTAGTTCAGCAAGATAGAAAGAAAGCTTCTTTAAATGTTAATACCATAATTTTCTGTTGGAAATTTGTCATAAACAAATTATCAGTCAATCAAGTATCTTCATTTGTAATGTATATGTTCACCAAGAATGTACGTAAATTTTATTTTTAATTAATTTACTTGGAAATATTGCATTAATTTTTAGAAATTGATATAAGTAGTCAAAATATTCTGTTAGTGTTGTAGTAGTTTTGTTGGGGTGTTTTTTTTTTTAACGGTGAATCGGTTTCTATTTAGGAATTAAACTGAGTTAGTATAATTGAACGCACCTACATAACCTGTAATCTACGTCTTATAAATATCGATGGAAGTATTATCATCTTTGGATCTTCCGGCGATTTCGCTCAGTAATGATTATGTCATCTTGTCTTCGCTCTTCGAGAAGACGAGTCGACTTTTTTGCTATCCGTAAACGAAGACAACGCCTGAAGGTATTTAGCCCTAATTGTTCTTCGGTTTTCATTTGATTGTGTGGAATAATTTTTATATTTAGTAATTGATGGGGTTCGATTAGCGTTGCATAAATTTTTTTGGTGTGAACGACTTCGGTGGCGTGCTGGTTTCGTATTGCAACATGGAATTCTATCTTGGCATGTTGCATGTCTACTCATCTACTGTAAATTTTTAGATTCTCGGTTTATTTGCTGCTGATGAATTACGATTTTGTTAGAATTATTGAATTTTGAAAATAGTTTTAGGCGATGACTATCGATTTTTCATATCGATGACCACGTCGTGAGAAATTTCTTTCGTTTTATAGCTAAAATCATTGATAAAAACATAGTGAACATATAACTAATATTAAGTTGTTTTAACAGAATAATAAATGAATATGGAGACAGTGGATCAAAAAGGCTTGGAATATGCAAAAGCGGAGCCCCACTCATGTTATTCTCTTGAGATTGGAAAAGATTCATTTGTGGAAAGAGTAAGAAATCTTTAATTATTTTCTGGAGTTGCATTTGTGGTTGTGATTTTCTTCTGAATTGTAATAATTAATGACAGAGTTCCTTCCATACTCTATTATTTAATTGGTGGAAGTTACAGTTCTTAATATTGTATAACATAATATTTGAGATGAAATTAACATTAAATTATTTCAACAGGTCACAAAGAAACAAAAAATAAGGATTGGAAACTTGGACTCTCCACAACCTCCCTTTATACTTGAAAGGTGCAATTTCTGTGGTTGTGATTTTCTTCTGAATTGTAATAATTAATGACAGAGTTCCTTCCATACTCTATTATTTAATTGGTGGAAGTTACAGTTCTTAATATTGTATAACATAATATTTGAGATGAAATTAACATTAAATTATTTCAACAGGTCACAAAGAAACAAAAAATAAGGATTGGAAACTTGGACTCTCCACAACCTCCCTTTATACTTGAAAGGTGCAATTTCTGTGATGTTCTGTGTTTTGCGTGTTGGCTCATTTCACCATCAGTGTATTTCTTCGTTGTCAACGTTTAGGAATAGAACTGGAGCACCCTACTCCCTACTGTCTACAATAATCCTGGAGGTTAGCAGTTGTTTATTATTTTGACGGTAATTTTCACAATAATGGCGATCCTTGGGATCTATGGTTTCTCTTCTATCATCTATTGGCCTTAGCATAAATTGATGATAGCGTGCATCTAAGGTAGTCTAGGAACTATCTATTGTTCACATCATTGGGTATCTATTATTTCTATTGTACCTAGCTTTTAACTTTTATCTATGAATAAAATGACATATGTCTTCATTTTGTAATTTGATATTTACTTATTTTCTACAGTAAATTTTTTGTTTTACGTAGGCGTATTTAATGCCTTCCTTAATTAACAATGTAATTAATATGTTGTTTTTGTCATTTCTGCAGATTATCCAACAAATGAAAGAGACTAAAGTGGTGTTGTCTTTTGTGAACTATATATTCTTGATTTGCTGTTTTCGTCTCCAGCTTGCAACATCATGAAGTTAATTTTCCACTGATAAATGAGAGCAACAGGAGATTTACTGAAACAACATTTTGTGCTGTGGTATTCCTTCTGGATTTAGTCTGCATTTCACATCTGCAAACTTTAAAAAGTTACAGTCTACAATTAATTAAGGTGGGAATACTTGATATAATTAATTTTAATCGCTCTTTATTAATCTGTTTGCCACCGTATCTGTTTCAGATCGACGTTGGAGAAGACAAAGATGACCCCGTAGCTGAAATAGTTCTTTATCTTGCATGCTCTATCTAGTAGAATTCATTAAGTTCATTTTATTCAAATTAATTTTTTATTTTGCATGTCTTTTTGTAGTTAATTTGATTTAATTTTTATTTTGCATGCTTATTTTTGTTCTTTTTGTTTGAAGTAGTTGTTGATTGTAGATTCTTTTATTTATTTTTTGTAATAGTAGTAGTGTTGTAGTGTAGTTAGTAGTAGTACTTACTAACACGTTGAGTAGTTGTAGTATAGCCTAACATGTCTCTTGCTTACCTCTTCGCTTAGCTTACTGCATATTCTTACTATAAATTGCTTTGCATTTACCCTACGAGTTCTACATGATTCAACGTTTCGTTATCGTGTGTGTTTCTTCTCACCCTTGTGGAATTAGGGAGGGCCTCCCCGAACGACTTNATTTTCAAGTGATGAGTGAGAGCAACTGAAGATTTATGTGAATTCCACTGAAATAAGAAATTTTCTGCATTGGCGCTCGTCTTGGATTTGATTTGCTTTTCACACCTGCAAACTGGAACATTACAGTCTACAGTTAATTAAGGTGAGAATACTTGATATAATTAATTTTAATTGCTCCTTATTAATCTATTACCACCGTATCTGTTTCAGATCGACGTTGGAGAAGACAAAGATAATCCCGTAGTTAAAATAGTTCTCTATCTCGCATGCTCTATGTAGTAGAATTCATCAAGTTCACTTTATTCAAATTAGTTTTTTATTTTGCATGTTTTTTTAGTTTATTTGAATTAATGTTTGTTTGTAGATGTTTTTTGGTAGTAATCGTAGAGCTAAACATAGTTCTATATTTTTTATATAAGTGGTAGTACTAGTTTAACATATCTCTATCTTCTCTACCAAAGCTATTAGTATTTGTCGTTAGTCCTTGTAATTGCACTATTCGCTTTCAGATTATGAGGTATTTCCTAAGAAGAATGAAGACATCATTTTCATTTTTGCTTTTTATTGTAATTTCTTTGAAATTTCAGATGTTTTCTTGTCTTTCTTTTACAGGTATTTTGTTTATTACTTTATGAACTATTATATTATTTAATTGCAACTTAGGTTGATATTTAAAATTTTTCTAAATTAATTTTTTGGTATAATTGTTAAATTAAATGAATTATTTGTTTACGCTTTCAAAATTTATGTTCGTTTGGGTGGATAGGGTGGCTATAAGGGGAGATGCGGAGGCCACAGAAGGTTAGGGAGGCTTTTTTCTCCCTAATCTTGCATTTAAATAATAGTGGTATGACAGTTTATGCATAGTAATTGTATTTTCTTTGAAATTTTATTGATTTTCTTGTCTCTCTTACAGGTATTTTATTTTTAACTTTTATAAGTCGTTAAAATGTATTATATCTTCGATATTTTGTTTATTGATGTATTGTTGTTTTTGAAATAAATTTGTACTTTGTTATAATAAATGTAAATTATATTTGTAAATAATAAATGTATTTTCATTGTATTATCGTTCTTTAGTATTTAAATAAATAAA